CGCGGGCGGAGAGAAAACCCCCCAGCTCGGGGCTGGGAGCTGCTGGCCAGACCTGCCCCCCAGCTGGGGCACGGCAGCAGCAGGGATCCCCTGGCACGTCACTGGGCTCGTGGCGCCGGGCCATGCGCCTGCTGGTGACCACCCTCCCGCATGGCCCGTTCGCGAGGATGCAGTGGGAGAGGCAGCACGAGAGAAATATGCGTCCAAAGGATGCTCCCAGGGTCAAATCAAGCCCTCGAGGTCCCGCAGCCAGGGTGCAAAGCGGAGATCACGGTGGTCCAGCAAGCTTTTCTCCACCCGTCGCTCTCCCTTGGTGCATTAGATACCTGCACGCTCTTTCCAGCTCTGCCAGGAGGAAATGCAGCTGTCACGTTGCCAGTGCTGTAGTCCCTCTCCTTTGATCCTCCTCCTTTTCTGATGCTCCACTAGGTCCCTGTGGTCGTGGCAATGCTCTTTTCCTATTGAGGCTGGAGGACCAGTGCCCAGAGCAGTTAAGCCCCCAGTGCTGGCTGCAGTCCAGGACATAGCGTCAAGCGCAGCTGGGCTGAGAGCTTCTCCTGGGCTTCTCTCTCTCACACACATACACACACACACACACACACACAAATACATACACACACACAGTCCCCATTGGCAGGCAAAGAGCTGGGGCCATTTGGCCCCATACTGGCCTATGTGGCTGGTGCTGGGCTTTGGCCAGCCACCTTCTCTGGCCACCTAGGGCAGCTAGACACAGCAGAGGGCAAAAGAGGACCAGGCTGTTGAAGGACCAGGAAGCAAAGAGTTACAGGAGCCGTGCCCTGGGCCGGGGCCTTGGCGCATTTCGGTGTCACATAGCAACATCTCACGCTCCAGTGACACAACATGTTTTGCTCAGAGGCCTGCAGAGACCAAGGGTGACAAGATCGTCCTGGGACCCGGAGCAGCCTGGGGGGCACGATATCGGCCAGAGCAGTGCCCTGGATTTACCCCAGCAAGGGCACGAGTGGGGTTGGGGGTAAGTGTGTGAACAGCTCGATCTAGGCGGGCTGGAAAGGAAGGAGCTGCTCGTCCCAGCCAGGGAGAAAGGACAGCAAGCAGGGCTGGGGACAGCCCCGCTGGCCAGGACGTCTCAGGCTGCTGGGCGAGAGGTACTGGAGATGCAAAGGTGGCCACCACGGGCAGGCAGGGAGAGCTGGGGGGTCCCGGGGTGCGAACCTGCCCTTGGCCATCCTGGGAACCCCAATCCTGCAGAAAGGTGCTGGGGGCCCATCCTCTACCCTCTCCTGCGGGGAGGATATAGAGCAAGGCCCCCCCAGGGGCATGGGAAGAGGGCAGGACCCGGCTTTGTGCCGCAGGAAAGTGGGCGCCCCGCAACCACGCAGACCCCTGCGAGGCTCACCCAGCACCTTCACAGCTACCACGGGGCAAATCCCGGGCACCAGCCCAGCCTTGAGCATTGGTGGTGACTGCCGTGGTGCCCAGGGCTGCGGTCCCAGCCGTACCTGGGTGACAGGAGCCCTCGCTCCACCCGTAGAGCCGCTCTGTGCCCGTCACCCCGAGCTGCGTCCTGGCCCCCAGCACACCTCTGCCAAGCTGCGCAGAGATGCGCCTGAAGGAGGGAGCG